TCTTCAACTCCTTCTCCTCTAACACCAGGACCCAATTGTTGCCCCCTCTTTCACTTCTTCTCCTTGCCTCGACTAGCTCTCTCTCCCTTGCTAGAAGCCGGAGAGTTCGGTTTATGTGCTCGTCAAGTGGTACCAAAGGTGTCGGGTTGCTCCGGGTCATGCACCACCTACACACAATCGGAAAACACCAAGTCTAGCACAAGCAAAGAACACAAACTTGCAAAACTGGAAATTAAAAGCTAGATTAACAACCAAAAACTTTTTAAAGATAACAGACCGTTGTCCCAGGCAACGGCGCCAACAACTTGACTCGCTCGAAACTACACCACAACTAGAGCCCAAATTTTTAAACTCTAGTCGGATGCAGTATAGGGCAAGTATTTCGATATCGAACCGGGCAGGTCCATCTACACCTACTTCGGTTGTTGAAATCATTATCTAGCAACAAATTTTTGGTTTAAAGGTTTGTTGATTGAAATGAAACAAAGCAAAGGTAATTGGTTTTGAAAAACTCTTTTGTGGAAGGATCACTCGGGTGTCGCTTCCCCCTAAGTGTTACCATGATATGTGCATTGGAACGATTGTTTTGGGCACGGTAATTGCGAACCGCCGAGGGATGCATATATGGTCAGAGAACACAATCTCAATTGCAAAACCGAGGTAAGCATGAGAGGTCGTGTCACTCGTGACTCAACCCTCCCGGTTTAGACAATCGGTAGTTGACTTACTCCCTCACTCAACTCTAAGGTCAGACGGCTTAATCACGATTAACCGATTTGCTTAACTCAATATTGATGGTTTCCCTAACTTAACCTAGTTTAGGTGGCTAATTAGATTGCTAGCACCAACATGCATGAACCTAGGGGTGCTAAGCACAATTATGCACAATACTTAGGTTGTTAAGCACCTAAATGCACAGACCTAAGGATGCTAAGCACAAAACGTGCACAACCCCTAGGTTGCTAAGCAAAAGCATGCACAATCATGATGAATAATACCTCATTCATTGAAGTAAACAATACCCAATGACAATCATCCAATACACATAAAAGAAAACTACATGGTAGACTTAGGGTTTCACCGCACCCAAGTGAAAGGAGGTCTACTCCATGCTAGAAGTAGAAAAAAGTTGAGTTTTCCTTGGAGGAAATCTTCCCAAAATCTGCCTTGAAGCAAAACCCTAGCCTTCTTCTCCCTTGGGTTCGTGTTTCTCACTCTAGAATGTTGAAGAAGGCTTTTCACACAAAATGGGCTCTGCCTTCTCTCCTCCTTTCAGCTCATCATTTAAACCCGAGACGAGCTGAGTTCACGGCCTGAGTTCACGGCCATGAACCATGAAACGCGTCTGTGAACTTCTGGCGTGCACCAAAACGCGTCGCATCATTCACTTCTGTTCACAGTCAACTACCTTCGTTCACGGTCTTAGTGACCGTGAACTCACCTTGAGTTAGTAACCTCCACTTTGGCTCTGGACGCCTCGCGATTCACGGTCCATGGCTCTTCTTCACGGTCATGCAGGCCCGTGAACTTCCTTGGTTAGCCGTGAACTGGCCCTTTTTCACCTCTTCTCCCGGTTTTCGATCCTTTTTGCCAATCTTTCGACTTCGAGGCTGGTTTCACCTGTTAAATCCTGAAACACACTATAACACGGGAAACCTAGCATAAAACCAACCTTTTAGGAGTGAATTTGGCAAACATCTAAGTAAAACGGGAGCAAAACATGTACAATTAGCCCCAAATCAAGGATATAAGTGGGTTTACATAAAATAGGCAAGGACATAGTTGTAACATTTGAACTAAATAATGAGTCATTTGGAAATGACTCGATAGAGTAATTTGGGACATTCGTATGGACGAAATGACTCATGCGTTTTTTCTTTAGCAAACGAGTCATTTGACATCAAATTACCCAATTGAGTCATTTGGTACCAAATAACTCATACGAATTTCGACCAAAAAAAAATAACTCATACGAATGACTCAAGCAAACGACCCCCTAGTCTCTCTCTCTCTACTTTTCCTTTCATCTGTCTACTCTATATTTTGTAAGGGTTTGCAAATTCATCTTTTACAGTGGGTTGCCGTCGACTTCCCCTCCAGGACCGACATTGGTCCTCCACCCTACAATTTGTTTTATTAGCCAAACCTTTTTCGAATTCTTTTTTATTAGCCAAACCTATCGAAATACTAAGAATTAGTCCAACGTTTTGTAACACGTACAAGTAATAGCCATTAGTCTGTTATCATTAACTATATCTTAACGGTGCTCCACCTCAACGTCCAATTCAACTACCACCTCATCAATGAATTTGGGTAAACACTAATTGTTAGCCAAATCGTTCTCGCATTCTTTTTTATTAGCCAAACCTATTGAATTACTAATAATTGGTCAAATCTTTTGTAATGCATCAAAATATTAGCCATTTTTAAACTATCGTTAATAATTTTGTAACTCATTTCTTAATTAAAGTACCAACATTTTGGAATGTTGACCTCCATGTGTCTCTTCCAAGTCAGTATCTTGTTGCCAAGTCAATATTACTAACAAAATTGCTAACCGAAAATTAACGTTTGACTAATTATTAGTAATTCATTAGGTTTGGTTGATAAAAAAGAAAGCGGAAAAGATGATCAGTGGTTGACCGACTGATGTGGCATTTTTTGACTGTCACGTCAGAATATTCCTTCCACCTCAGTGCCACGTCTGACAGCTCACCATCATCAAACGAAAAGGTTAACAGAGAGTTAACGTTTGACTAATTAATAGCATTTCAATAGGTTTTACTAATAAAAAAAAATCTGAAATTTTTTTGACAAATAAATAGTCATTACTTTTTTCTTTGATCTTTAGCTAAGTTTCATGTTCAACTTCCAATCCCTTCAAACAATATCTTTTTTTTTATCGAATCTGTATAAAACTTTATTGATCAGACGTCGCGGCTACATTATCCAATATAAGCTGATCAACAAGGATCATAGGGGTCTATCTAACCAAACCTCCCTCTCATTCCATCTGGTCTCAGTATGAGCCATGATGTGTGCTGCCATATTTCCTTCTCTTGGAACATACTGCCATGTTCCATTCCCTGTCTCCCTGAGTAGCTTTCGGATATTACGGCATACAACTCCGATCTCAGCATGGATATCGTCCGCCATCGCTAGCTTGTGGGTGAGCGTGAGGCAGTCTGTCTCCAGAACCAGATTCGTCAAGTAAGACTGGTGGACTAATTGCAAACCGAGCTCAGCAGCTAAAGCTTCCGCCATCTCAGGTTCCCCGCTGCCCGGGATCTTCTTTGCAGCCGCTAGGAGGAACTTCCCTTCATCATCACGAATGACAACTCCCAAACCTGTGCCCCTGCAGCTAGGACGCCTACATCAGTGTTGACTTTCCGTTGTCCCTGCTGCGGTTTCTGCCAAAGCTTCACACTATTATTCACCTCCTCAAACAATATCTTTTCATAGATGTCTTCTTTTATCTCTGGTATTATTTGTCATATCTGGAGTGCTTTTGTTTAGGGGTGGGAATCGGTCGGTAAACGATAAATTGTTTACCGAATTTACCGGTTTCGGTATACCGACGCTGGCAAAACCGTTTACCGATTTGTAACCGGTTTACCGATTACCGATTACCGGTAAACGGTTACAAACCGGTTTACCGAATTACCGCAAGGGCGACGTGGGGGCGGGTTTTCGGTTCGGTTTACCGAACATTTACCGAAACCGAATTTCTGTTAGTGGGGAAGATGTTGTAAGCTCGTCGGTGGGGAAGCGGGAAGGTGGCGGAGCTGGGAATCAGGGCGAATCAGCGGGAAGGTGGCGTTGCGGTGTCGGCGAGGGAAGGGAGACTGGGAGGGTCAGGGCGAAGGAGCGGCGTCCGTCGTCGCCGTCGTGGGAATCGCTGCTCGTCGCCGTCCTCAGCAGAAGGAGCGGCGTCCGGCGAAGACGAGAAGAGGAGAGGTGGCTGCGCCGGCGTGGATGTCTGCTCTGCTCTCTGCCTCTGCCATTTCCGAACGAAGAAGAAAAGAGAAGGGTGGCGGGCTGGCGGCTAGGTCTCATTTTTTAGAAATTAGGGTATAGAAATTGGGGGCCAATTAAACGACGTCGTTTTGGGGTTCGGTATCGGTTTACCGATTTACCGTCGGTATTTACCGATACCGGATTCGGTAAACCGATACACCCCAGCCCACGCTCGGTCGCCGATACCGTCGGTAAACAGTTCGGTAAAACGGTAAACCGTGTACCGACAAACCGAATCCCACCCCACCCCTACTTTTGTTTAGGGTGATCAATTTTGGTTCAAAGATCGGCTTTTCTTCTCTTCTCTTCATCTCTCGCTTTTGTTTACCTCTTTGCTTCTCCCCGTATCTTTTGGTGATTCAGATATGTTAATGCCCTCCTTGGTGAATTGGTTACTTGTGATCCATGTGTTTTCAATGGCAATTGCTCATTGCTCTGAAGTTCGACTCTTATGATTCTGGAGAGCTACTGAAAGGAAAAATAACCAAGTGATGTAAGGTCCGAAAGAAGTATATGGTTCGGAGTTTCTCCATCAATCCAACATACATATAGGTTGTTTTGTGGTGGCCACGATTTCCCAAAGCTTCTTGATGAAGAGTGAAAGGGCTTAATCCACTATGGAGTCGGTGCATCACTCCAATTCCCTCACCCAACCTTTTACCAGAGCCGCAAGAATTGCTCCAACGAAGGGAGGCCACTAGGCAAAGCATGCGCTCATCTTCCTCGAGAGTGCTATCAAGAGGTTGGTGAGCTTTGCAATGCGGATCCAAAGGAGGATGTTGAAGGCTCAGACTCCAAGGATGAAGATGTAATTCATCCCACACGACCATTGAAGATTACCACGACGGACTTATCCATGGAACGCTTCAAATAATATAGGATACGACTTACATTGGAAAACTATTAGAAAGCATTTGTGCATCTGAATCACCAGGTGATACTTTCTGTGGAGGAGATAAGCTCTATAACGACGAAAAAGTTGTTACCAATCCATGAATCTTATCCATTTACCAAATATAACTAACACGAAACAAAAGGCAATTGCAATCTTCATCAAGGTGCCAAATGGTAATCTCAAATTCTCGACAGAAACAGAACAGTTTTGATGTCAGAGCAAAGAGAGGAAGATAACAACATTACAAGTTCATACAGGGTAAGAAGATTCCTAAACGAACACATGCAAACCGAAGCACAAAGAGGTAACAGCAAAGCACGGGGATTGATGAGATCCGAAGGAGACTTTTCTTTTATTCAGCTCCTTGGCCAATGTCTCTTACATAGTCCTTAAGAAGAAGCTGTTTTGCCATAGAACCGAATGCCAAAAGCCACACCCAAAATGAGAAGGGGGACTAAGAACTGGAGTAGCTTGAAGAGGAACTCTGAGGTCTTGTCCTGGTTGTAGTGAGGTTGCTTAGGAGCCGTGTAATTGACCTTGGTTGGGATGGTTGAAGAGTCGATTTCCCCAACGTAGAACTCGTCCATCATTGCCTTTGCGCTGGTGCTGTGCCCAACATCTTCAAAATCTTCGGTCGCATCTTTCCCTGGTAGGCAGTAAGAGGTTAATGGGAAGAAGCCAGGAGATGAGAATTAAGTAACCCCGTGATTGGTTTCTAGAAATGGCAATGAACTGAGTTCCATACCTGTTGAGGATAACAAAACCTCATCACCACCAGGATGGTCCTCCAAAAATTTTGTCACATTGTATACCTGTTCCAACGAAATGAAAGTCTCCCTTCAGAATTTACAAACCACATTTCGGCAGCACTTGATCCAGGAATAAACCATTAAATCATCAGACTTGGCATTCCAACCAAATTGGAAAGATCTAATATTACCAGGCACGCAGCATGAAAACAGCATTGACAAGGTAGGTGGACAACTAAAAGCACGTTAAAAAAGCCTACAGAATCCTGAGCACAAAACCTGGAGAATAGAAGATGTGGAGGATGCAATGAGGGAGGGTAATAACTAATAATACCAGTGAGGTTTTGAATCCCACGAGCTATTCGGTTTGCTTGGCACTGATGCTATGTGTAATATACTACAAATGCTTCGACCCCAGGCTATTCAATCCGACGTTACAGAACAAGATCTGTAGGTTAAGTGATTATCTAAAACAGATCCGCCTTCCCGGATCACTCAATTCTCATTGTACCAGAAACAAAACAGATCCTTCTTCCTGATAAAAAAACATGAATCATCGAGCATCCAGAAACCCAAATCGCATACCGAACCATCCAATAGACGACAAACAAATCATCGGGAAACTTCTTCCCAGATCAAGCAGCAATTAACCACACAAAGCAGGAACAAAAGTCCCCAGGGTTTACGGTCAAAACTCAAATCCACCCCTCTAGTTCTGCCAACCAAAGATTCGCTAAGCAACAAAATTAGATTGGGGAGTGATGCGACAGACCTTGCCCTCGATGACGAGCCAGCAGTCCTTGGCGGTGTTGTGCTCAGAGACCTCGGCCAAAGTGAACACTTTCCGATCGTCGCCGCCCATCTCCTCCCGTCAACCGTTCTTTCCTTCGCCTTTTGGTTAAAAACCCAGGAACTGCTTTGACAGAGACAAAGGAAAGGAGCTTTCTTAGATGTTTGCGATCGGGGTTGGTGGTGAAGCGAAGCAGAGTTAAAGACGAACGACTCACCAGTCACAAGTGGCTTTAAAGAGATTGGGAGACGCAAAGCTTACAAAATGGTGAAGTAGTCGGGCAAAGCCGGGCAGGCCAGGAAGGGATGGGTTTGGTGAGGTGAAGGTCAGGTTGGCAAATTGCATTAATTACTAATATGTATATATTGGGTCCGCGGAATGAGATGGGATTGTGGTCGCCTTGCGCTTTGTGATGACCATTTGGACTTATGGGTTGGAGTCTGGCCGACGGTTGGTGAGAGGTGCCTGCAAGGCTGGCAACTAAGACATTGTCACCAACCCTCACACCAACTTTACTTTTCTTGTTTTTAGGTTTGCTTATTCATTCCTAGTAGAACTTGAGTCGAATTTTACTAGTAGGTAATTAGGTTCGTATATCTTCCCGACCTAATATGTTGCTTTACTCAGTTAGTATAGGACCTGCTATTTGGGTTTGTAAAACAAATGTGAAAGTTGAAGTGCCTCCTTACCTAGTTCGAAGTTTAAGAGAAAAAAAAAGACAACTACACTATTAGACTACGAAAAACAATAGAAAAGTGTTGCATAGGCAAACTCTCTCTAAAATTTTCTTAGAATCACTTCGTTACGAAACTAGTCATCACATACGTGGTTGAGTTATGATTTGAGTTAGAGAACCTTAACCATTGATTATTATTTTTAGATTAAGTGATGATTTGAGTTAGAGAATTAGGGACTGGAGTTCACCCATTGAAAGTTAGGGTAAAGTATCACCCCCAAAACTCTGGCTAATTCATGCTCTAAATCGAAAAATTCGATGGGCATATGATAAGGTTAGCGTATATTAGACATACGCTAGGATGAACCATATATATAACAAAAAATCAAACGTTACATCGTCTAAGAAACTTCTAGGGTTTGAAAACGAACTAGTCACTCGGATAGGTATTAGGGAAAACATCAATCAAGACGAGATTCCAAAAGTTCTGACAAACGGCGTCTAGAAGGAAAAATGGCGTCGATGATGCTATTTTTTCGTCGTTGTGCCCTCGAGTTTTCTGATCGTTTAATCCAGTGAGTTTCTCTCTCGACATAGTAACTCCTGTATAACTTATCTATCGAATGAAGACTGATAGTTTCTATTTATAGGCTCTTCTAATAGGTTTTCTCAAAGAAAAAGCTAGAGTAAAACTCGCTGGTCGGACCCTTTGCGCTTTGGCTTTTCTTCTACCTTAGTCTACAAGTAAAGTATTTCCACACATTTCTGGGCTGATAAGAAACTCTCCAAAACTTGTGCCTAGGCCGCCCTTGTGGACTTGTGTCGACTAAATTCCACACCTATTTTATGATTCACTCATATCTCTATTTTTTACTTTCAGTATCTAGGCCGTGATGTCTCCCACTCATACAAGGTGGTCCACTATGATACTTTTGTCTGAAAGCACACGAAATACTACCGGGATTTTTCCAGAAATAGGACTGTTCAAATTTATTTTTTTTCCAAAAATAGCACCAAACTCCGAAAAATTCCAAAATAGCACCATTTCCCAAAAACCGCCACCCGTACCAGCAGTTTAGGCAAAAACAGCCACCCAAGGCGCATTTTTCGATGAAAATCGCACTGGTAGGGGGCGATTTTGCAAACCGCATGGGGTCGTGGCGGTTTGGTTGCAAACCGCACCCCACCATGCGGTTTTGGTTTTTTTTTTTTTTTGAAAAATTCTAACCTAGGTGGAAACTTCAAACAAACGTATCTTTGTGTTCGGGTATCTGATCGTCGCGATTTTTTTTATTCCGCATAACTTTTCGAGATCTTGCAAGCCAAAGACTGCCGAAGGTGGTTTGGTCCCGCCTTCGTCCCGAAAAAATGTCGTTTGCTACCCCGAATGAGCTTTTTTCTGATTTCATCAAACTTTGGACAACCATAACTTTGTGCTAAAAAATCCAAACGGCATGAAAAAAAAAATTATTTCGCATAAATTTTTAAGGAATACAACTTTTAGGGTGTGCCTATGATGACATGCATGTCATGGTGACTTGCACTTTCCGGTCGACCTCAGTTAGGATTAGGTCGACCTCATATAGAATTCGGTCGACCTCATATAGGATCCGGTCGACCTCATTTAGGATTCGGTCGACCTCATATAGGATCCGGTCGACCTAATATGTTGTTTCAGTGTAAAAACAGTTCATGGTGCTTACTTTGGATATTCATATCATACAATTGGTTAGATGGAAATTGAAGACTAATGACTTGTTTTGAAGCTGGAGTGTCCCTCTACATATTGAAGTGATTGAGAGCTCGATAGGAAGTCCAGAAGACCATTTTTGAACCTCATCAAAAGGCTATGCCAAAACTGGGAAACTGCCTAGAAATGGCCAAGTCTGGAAACGTGTTTGTGAAGCCTATTTTTGAGCTCAATTCGAGAAGCATGAATGCGAGTCGAGTCCAGGAGCCTCTACCACGTTAAATTAGGTATGTTTTTATACAAATTCAAGGAATTGGATGAAAGATTGGATATCTTTAAGGCTTCAAACAAAAGGGTCGAAGTTGCTACGAAGGCTGTTTTTCTGGCAGACTTCGAGCACAAGCAAGCTGCCAGAAAAACAGCCTTCGTAGCAACTTCGAGCCTTTTGTTTGAAGCCTTAAAGATATTCAATCTTTCATTCAATGCCTTGCCTTTGTATAAAAAAATACGTAATTTAACGTGGTAAAGGCCCCTGGACTTGACTCGCATCCATGCTTGTCAAATTGAGCTCCAAAGTAGGCTTGACAAACACGTTGCCAGACTTAGCCATTTTCAGGCAGTTTCCCAGTTTTGGCATAGCCTTTTGGTCAGGTTCAAAAATGGTCTTCTGGACTTTCTATTGAGCTCCCAAGTACTTTAATGTGTAGAGGGACACTTCAGCTTCAAAACAAGTCTTTAATCTCCAATTTCCATCTAGCCAATTGTAAGATATGAATCTCCAAAGTAGGCACCATGAAACTGTTTGTACACTGAAACAACTGATTAGGTCGACCTGATCCTATATGAGGTCGACCGAAAAGTGCATGTCACCGTGACATGCATGTCACCGTAGCAAAGTCCCAACTTTTATCATAGACATAATTTCGAAATGTACGTGGATTGCTGAAAAGGGAAGGTAAGCTATTCCCAAAATCCTTTATATCCAAAAATAATTCCTGTTTTGAAAATTCATTCCTAGTAAAAATTGTAGTCCTTAAAAAATTTATGCGAAATGAAAAAACAATTCATGAAGTTCGGATATTGGAGCACAAAGTTATAGTTGTTTAAAGTTATTGAGGTCCAAAATCCGAACTTCGTGAATTTTTTTTTCATTTCGAATAACTTTGTAAGGAATACAATTTTTACTAGGAATGAATTTTCAAAACATGAATTATTTTTGGATATACAGAATTTTGGGAATATCTAACCTTCCCTTTTAAGCAATCCACGTACATTTCGAAATTATGTTTATGATAAAAGTTGTATTCCTTAAAAATTTATGCGAAATAAAAAAAAATTCATGTCGTTTGGATTTTGGAGCACAAAGTTATGGTTGTCCAAAGTTTGACGAAATAAAAAAAAAGCTCGTTCGGGGTAGCAAACGACATTTTTTCGGGATGAAAGCGAGACAAAACCACCTTCGGCAGTCTTCGGCTTGCAAGATCTCGAAAAGTTATGCGGAATCAAAAAAAAAATCGCAACGATCGGATACCCGAACACAAAGATACGTTCGTTTGAAGTTTCCACCAATGTTAGGATTTAAAAAAAAACCAAAAACGCATGGTGGGGGTGCGGTTTTCATCGAAAAATGCGCTCCTGGTGGCGGTTTTCGCCTAAACCGCTGGTACGGGTGGCGGTTTTTGGGAAAGTGTGCTATTTTTGGAATTTTTCGGAGTTGGGTGCTATTTTTGAAAATAAAAATAAACAGTACTATTTCTGGAAAAATCCCAATACTACCAAAGTGCATCAAAATAGTAAAGGTGACCATAGAAACTTCTAAACTCACCTTGAGCATTTATTTAGTAAGTCCACATTAATATGACAATAAATATATGAAAATGGTGTAAAACAAGCCATTAAATAAGGGTATGAAATAGTATAATTTGAGTGTCGTCAAGTAACCCCACACTTGAAGTTTGCTTGTCCCAGACAAACCTAATCTCAACATACTTTCTCCTCACTAGGTCTCCACCATGACACGTGACTTCCTATCTTTGCAACGATGCTCAAAATGTACTTTATAAGGATGAAATTATTCGTCTCTCACAAGATGGAGTTCTCTGTTTCTTCCTATAGTCTTCTTTTACGAAAATTGGGTTGATGCTTGTGTAGCTTGATTAGGAAGTATTTTCATTCCTACCCACGTAAGTCTTTTGAATCGATTTCGAATTAAGATGATCTTTCCATGCGTATCACACTTTTCGTGCTACACTATGCTCAGAAAGGTGTTTATGTTGCCTCGTCCTACGGAACTTGGCGAGCTTTGATCGAGCAAGATCACTTTTTAGCTCCTTTTCCTTGATCATACGGAGGTTCAATTAAGTCAAGAGGCGTCGAAAGCTTTATCCGTGCCCTTAAAAACACATCCTCAAGTTGCCAATTCTATCATATGGGTGGAAATTTTACTTGTACTAGAGAGAAACTAGTGTCATCACATAGGCTTGCCCCACCAAGACTTAACTAGTATCTCTTCCAAAACCAGGATTTTTCCGGTGATAGTACGCCTCACTTGGCTTTTTACCCGACACTTTATTTGCATCAACATCGTCTATGGATGTAGACTTGACATGGTAGGATATCGGATGTATGAAGTTACATATCGACCCACTTGCTTTGACATTGCTATATGTGTCGTGAAGATGTAGCACATTGGGAATGATTTGTTAGGATAGTCGTCTGGCTTTTAACCTCTAGTAAGTGGCCAAGATCGAGCCAACATTTGGGTCCAAGCTCTATAGTTGTTGTTCATATGATTATCAGAGCTCTTATAGGTGGCCATTGTGAATGGAGGCTGATTATATTGGTAGCTACTGTGATCGAAATCATGATTTTAAGGGTCACGAGTACAAAGATAGTCGACTTCTGTTGTTCGAAATTCGCCTATGATCCCACAGTTGCATCCATCTTGATTGACTCATCCCGAATAACACAATTAATTCTCGCCTAAGGTCCAAGTATAAACCTTAGTCGGGTGCAATACAGGGCAAGTATGTTTAAATATCGACTCGGGTCGGTCCATGTACCCCTACTTTAGTCATTTGAATCATTATCTAGCGAATCGGTTTTGGTTGAAA